AGTCTCTCTTGCCTTTGTCGGGTCTCTCTTATTTATTCCTCCCTACCTTACTGACGTAGAACCACCAAAATCAGTCTGAAAAAACCACCCTGGTGTACACCACGTAAGTAAGCGTTTCGGATAGTAGGCTGAAGAAAGTGATGAAAACGGTAAGTTATACATATTGCACTAGCCTTACCTGGCCTAGGTTAAGCGGTTTGTACTTGGCACATGCCGAATTGAGTTGAAGCCTAAAAAAGGAAAAGGCCTACGTGCTGAAACACTGAGGTTAATCAAACCACAGTGAGATGGAGAAAAAGGGCATGTCACACCAGAAACAGCACTGTATCACAGAAAAAGTTATCCGCACCTGGCAGATTCTGTAAACGCTTAACGTTGACAAAGTGCTCGGTCAGGTGTGGTTATGTAGCCACACCTGAAGTAAACAAGCCCCAGCCACCTGTAATACGAGACCGGCGGTAATAGGGGTTTGTGCAGATGGAGCTGGGGAGCGCACAGGCGACGAGGACAAGTAGTTGTATGCAAAAGAAAAGTCATTGGGGATGAGCAGTTGTACTTTGAGTGGTTGAGAAATAGTTGCCTTAACCGTAGTCCCTAACTCCTACCCCTAACCCTAAACCTAAATCCCAACCCTAACAGTATTGTGTCCAACATAACCACATCTCATCAAATAATCAAATGACCTAACGAGAGCAAAGCAAGCAGAGCCCATTACTTGTAGTGCGAGCAGATCACCTGCGTAAACTGACCAGATAAAACAAGCAAAATAAAAAGGCTAAAGATAGGCGGATCTGAATAAACCAAAGGTAGGAACATATGTAGAAATCAACATAATCGAATAATGCTGTCGGCGGAAAACGCTCTGCCAAACCAGACGGACAACGCTCGAACAGCCGTACGGCGACATTAACATCGCACCCGCATAGGCAGCCAAAATACCAAAACCGCGGGGTTCCCACTTGGTCTTTATTGGTTAAGTAAATCAACCATCATATAGACAAGACTGTGGAAAATCTGGAAGCTTATTAATGGTTTTAGACTTTGTTTTCAGGAACAAACTGCCCGACTAACCTAAATAACGAATTACTACTCGGGCGCTTACAAACTGCGGATTAAAAACTAAACCAGAACACTGTCAGGAATCTGGATGCTTATTGTAGGCGTCGAAACGGCCAGCTGCCAAGGGCAGGCCAATCTGTATGACAGCTTAGAAATAAGGTGTGGTCGGAAATAAGGACAACAAGAACAGATACTCACCAGACGCTTGGCTTCTGATCAAGAGTTCTTTGAGCGGGTGCAGGCAGAGACATGGTCGCAATTGCTAAAAGACAAATAGAATGGATTCTAGACTTGGATCATCAGTAAACAGAGCTGAGTCGTTGTGCGGGGTAGAGCATCACCAAAGGCCCAGCAACAGTTCTAATCGACACGGCGCCCTCAAAAGGTTGGAGCCCACCCGGAGTGATGGCTGTGGACGCTGTGCATGAACCCCTGTATTTTGGTAGGGATCGTTATCTAGGTTTATTCCGAAAGAGCGGGGAGAGCTGGCTTATTCCTACAAACCGTTTCACGGTCATTATCCATCATCCTACTTCCGTCACACGTCCGACCTCTATTCAGGGTCAAAGCTGACGGTCAGAAATCAGCACCACGGCCCGCTGGTCAACTGACGAACTGGTTTGCATCATGACTAGGAGGTGCGACTACTCCCTTAGTGCAGTGATAGATAAGGCTGCAGTTGCACACAGCGAATTGCACTAGGTGACGGTATTAGACAATTAACGACCTGAACGAATACTGCGGTCTTGGTTGGGGTCAACCCTTCCAAGGCGGAACTTCAGCAACCATTGGAAGTCCGTCCCTGCCAATGAGGGGGAAGTGAGCGGCTGCGATGTTCGAGAACGAACAGATTGTTCACATCGACTAATCCTCGTATCCCCGTATAATCCCATTTGCGTACGATAACAATTGAAAGCATGGAAAGATGCAGTAAATGCAGATCGCCCCAAGACAGGGCGGATGCGGCGAAATGACCCACTGTGTAGTGGATGTTTGAAAGAAGTGGACCAGCTCCGCTTGTAAGTGGGAGTAA